ACGAGATTTTCTTACCTGAGAATAGCAATATTTGGCGTTAGACAAAAGTTTTTTACAATGGTTTCTAGCAATAGTAAACGGGCGCCTGTTTTCTGGAGAGTTGTTTTGCTGATAGATACGAAAGTAATGGTTTCGATTGAAAATTGTAGTAACAAAGTGGGAGGGAAACCATAGAGAAACATGAGGGTTGACTTGGAATTATGGGGAGAAAATATCAATAAAACTGAATTTACTATTTTTCACCATCTTAATAAAAAGATTGATAATGATAATGTTAAAATTAGAGTTAACGGTAAACGACTTCAAAATAAATAAATTACCTAAAGGTGTCTCTCATGGTACAACCAACTAACAACTACTTAAAATTAATACAACAACCAACCAACTACTTAAAATTAATAAAAATTCTCACGTGCCAATAGTATATCGTCATTGATACGACACAATATTTACCAACATCAGATATCAATTTACTATTCCTTGTTGCATAGTTTGGGGTCAAAAAAGTTTTTTTCTATTAATTCGTATATACAGTTTACAATGCATTTCCATAAGAATTATGACACTATCTTCTTTAAGATCTGATATCCAAAATAGATTTTCTGAATTAAAAAATCTTAAATTTCAAGACCTTGTGAAGCTTTCAAATTGTCTCTTTGTGTTTGATTTTTTTAAAAATAAAACTACCAAGTTTGTTTAATAATTTTTTTATTAAAACAATTGATACTCATAAATATTACACTCAAAATACTAAAAAATATTTATATGACAACTTCCTCATTCAACACTATCAAATATGGCAAACTCTCTATAAAGCACTTATCTATTTCTCAATGAAACCAAATAATTCTATTTATAAAAAAAAAGATTTAACTAAATACCTTTTTATTACCATCATTCTTCTTCTCAATCGAAACCAAATTAAGAATGTTTTTTTGAGTGTATGTCTGATGAATATTAATTTTATCTTTTACTATTATTGATTTTTTATATTAGTGTATTCATTCCATAAAACAAATTTATTTAATCCTCTCTTGCAACGATCATGCATTGCTTGAAAGTAAAAGTGATAAAAATTTCAGTTTTACGACAGTATCTTTGCATAAATACTACAGACTTTTTATGCACTTTTATAGCAATTTAAAATAGGATTTTCAGTCAACGACTGTAAAAGCAATTTTTGATTTAAAACCAATTGACAGCTAATTGTAGTCTCACCAAAGAATTTTCTAGGGTTATGATTCATAAGTTAAATAACCCTAATGTTATGGAGAAAAAAAGTTTTTCAAAAGTAGGTCAACCTGGTACTCAAAAGAAGCGAAATTTTATAAAAAATTCGAAAATTATAATCGTTTTATAAAAATCATATTTCTGAAAAAAATTGTCATTTAAAAACATGTAAAAATGCACCTTTTTCACTTTTAGTTAAAAAACTATAGTTATTATGTAATAAAATCTAAAATACTAATTTTTAAATGAAAAAATTATTATTTTTGAAATTTTTATAAAATTTCGCTTTATTTGAGTACCTACATCACATAATTTTGAAAAACTTTTTTTTTGAATAATAATAGGGCCTGCTAATTTTTGTAATTATAGTTGCGGATGGAAGACATTGTTCAATCCATGAAAGTAAATACTTTCCTAAATTAGTACATAAAAAAACATTTTTCTAGCAATGTTTAAAGCCTGTAACAAGAAAAAAAAATTTTATGACCCACCCTAATATATATTTATATATATACATAGATTGATACATATACATACATATATGTACACATTCTTTGAAAATGAATTTTAATTGTTAAAGTTAAATCTACTATCATCTTGTAACATGATAGTACATTTAACTTTAACAATTAAAATTAAACTAAAATGCTTTTAATTTTAACTTGTAAATTAATTTTAATTATTAAATTAGATTTATTTTAGTATATTATGTTGATTAATAGTTTTTAAAATCATTTTGATATTGCAGACATTTATGTTTGGCATTTTTTAACTTTAGAAGAATTTAATTTAATTGGGCCGATTTTGTTACAAAGTTCTAATCTACTTTATACATTCAAAAATTTTTATGAAGAGTACGTAGTTTCATTTGAAATAAATCCAATGTCAATTTATCAATCATTACATGGAAATGTAATCCACCTGACAGCTAATGGAGATTATACAAATTATGGAGATAGAAACCCAGCTGTATTTATTACTCCAGAAACACAACAAGGATCACTTGGTTTTTCTACTTCAATTAATGGGTCAGTACAAAATTTTTATACAAAGTCTCTTCCATTAAATCAATGGAGTTTAGTAGAAATATTGCAGAAGTTTGTCGATACAAACTTTGTATACAGCATTAGTATAAACAAAACAAAAATTTATTCGTCAGTAAATAGCCAAACTATTCAACTATCGAATGTTAAACTGTATGCTTCTAATCCTTGGCATAATGCTCATAATGGCTATATTAGAAATTTATATGTGTTCACAAGCAAAACGGGTAAACAAATTTGTTGTAATATTTGATTCAATTTTATTAATTATATTTATTATATATTTATTATATATATATATATATATATATATATATATATATATATATATATATATATATATATATATATATATATATATATATGTTTAATACTAGCATCCTTAGCATTAATTACAAACTATTAATTGTATTTAATTACAAACAAACGATAACTTCACTTTTTAATGGGTTCTTTAGAGTTGGCTTTAGTTGGGCTTCTTTAATGTATAAAAAGTATAAAAATATGGCATCCACTGTGCGGATTCACAACACGTTCGTAATCATCTAGTTACCTCAAATATATAAAAAAAGAATTGCGTTTTTATACTCTGGGATAGCTATTTAATGTAAGTTTTGTTTTGATGCGTGAAGTTAGCAAATATATAAGATTTGCACTAGATTTAAACATTGCCATGTAATCTGCTTTCCTGTAATCTGCATTTCATTTTGGAAGATGAAAACAAAAGATTAATTTTTTTAGACACCAATAATCAAAAAGGTAATTAAGATTTTAACATACATCGGAAAAAAGCAATAACAAATATTCAGGTTAAGCCCAATTCAAACCACGGTAGAAAAATCTTAGAAAAAATATTTAAAAGATTTATTCATAGAGCAATATCAATTTGGCCTGAAAAGTTCTTAAATAAAGAAATTGATTTCCGAATAAATGTGTTTGCTGAAAATGAATACGAAAAGAAAAATTACAAAACCTTGCAAATATTGTTATAAAAAACCCAAATAATGAAATAGTCTTATCTTACAACGAAGCAACCATGCCAACTGTATCACTTATCACTTCCGTGGATCCCAATATTATCATCAAAACTTCAAAAATCTTCAGGAAAGCAGGTTACAGGGCAGTCTTTAAATCTAGTGGAAATCTTAAATCTTTGCTAACTTCACGCATCAAAACAAAAATACTATCAAATAGCTATCCCAGAGAATACCTAATAAAATGCGGTTATTTAAAAGAAAATAGGGAACATTCTTAAATTGGACATTATAAAATTAAATGTCCATGCGATATAAAATGGAATCAAGTAGAATCCTTAAAAACAGAACGAAAAAAATTTGAAAAAAAAGTCAATTGAAGTTCAGTTTAATAATTGCTGACCTTAGAAAGGAGGTATGAATTTTGATGTATATATATATATATATATATATATATATATATATATTTTTTTTTTTTTTTTTTTTGTTAAAGATAAAGATTTTTTGTTTACATGGAGTAAGGTTAAATTCGGCTGCAATATTCCGTTAAAATTTGAAAACACTTTTAACATTTCTGGATCTAAACTCTGGATCAGAGTTCTTTATGCTAGTAACTGGGCAAAGTGCTTCTGGTCCAACAACAGAGAATTAACAACAACAAATTTTCTTTTCTGGATTCTTAGCATTTCATTCTATGTTACCAGGTCTTATATGTTCACCATCAGGGCGACGAACAAGCTTTGATTGCAGACCTTGTACTTTGAAATGTGATTCATCTAAAAAAAAAACCCTGAAAAAACCTGCTAATAAAGAAGTTAACAATTATCAAGTCGTTTCAACTTAATATCTTTAGTTTTTAAAAATAGTATGATTATACAAATATAATAATAGCTGTAAACTTAACAACTTTTAAACATTTTTCCATACCCTTTCTCCATTGTTTTTCACTCCACCTTTTGTATTCTTTTGCCGACAAGAGACGCTTCTTCTTAATGGCATCTGTAAGTAATGGTTTTGTAGAAGGTTTTCAGGCAAAACTTTTATCAGCTAACAACCTCCTCCTTACAGTACTCGAGCTAACATAGATGTTATGCATATATTTATATCTAAATTATTCATTAGTTGGTCACTTGTCTTCTTTGGATTTATGATTCTCTCCAGCATTAGATATTATTCATATCTCACTGAGGTCTTTCGTTTTTGATCACATTTTTTTTTGTCTAAATGGTGGCAAGCTGCCTGTAACAAGGCAATGCCTTATGACCCGGCTAACTGTAGATTGGTTAACTGAACATGTGGCTACTGTTGAGATTTATCGGAATACTGTAGTAAAGATAATATTTTAAATAATTTTCTTAGTGTAGTCTCCATCTTTTTTAATTTTTTTTTGTTTTAATATACTTATATTGCAATCACAGTAAAACTAGAAAAAAGCGTAGAATAAAACAACAAATAACAACAACAACAAAAAACGTTTGATTTAACTAATTTGAACAATACTGTATATATATTATATATATATATATATAATATAATATATATATATATATATATATATATATATATATATATATATATATATATATATAATATGTATATACATATATATATATATATATATATATATATATATATATATATATATATATATATATATATATATATAATATATATATATATATATATATATATATATATATATATATATGGATTTTGCTTTCTAGTATGAGTTCACAGGCAAAATTTTAAGTATGCTGGATGCTTGTAACAGCTACAAGTAAAAATCCATTTTTACAGGGGAATTAGCATTTTTATTTTATAAACAGGTATACTTTACATGTTTGACAATAAAAAAAATATTTTAAATTCTATAAGATATTTGATGTGAATATTTCAGACATGTATTATAATGTTAAAAATCAATTTATTTGACGAATTTCAGCATACAGCATTATCCTGTTCAAGCTTACGAGGAAATAGTAGATTAATGCTGATATACAATAAAATACTTTTGTTTATTTTTATTCATATTAATTTATTCATATTCATATTGACAATGCCCACCAACTCCTCTGCCTCTTTATCCTTACTCTAAATCTCAGGACCCCACCACCCCATCGTTACTACTGTCTGTCATTAAGTTCTTATTGTATTATTGCTCAATTTGTTTAAAAGCACCATTTATTAATTTTTATATTTAATTTTATAACTGTTTAAATCAATTCTTTGTTCAAATATTTGAATATTTCAGAAAAATGTGAAAAGCTAAAGCTAAAAAAAGGAGCTGTAAAGCCAATCAATTACAACCCAAGAAGACCTGTCTATCTTCTCTCTACCTAACAGGCAATTGCCTAATAATGGTTATGTTATTAGATATTTTCTGTATACTATTTCCCCCAGGGTTAAAAGATTCAGACCAATCAAGACTAACTTTGCTTGTGCACAAAAGACATCTTCTGGAGATATGAAGTGCAAAGGAACTGATGGACCTTGCAACGCTGTGACTGGAGAATACTGTTTGCTCCGGAGTATTTTAAGTATTTGGGCCTCTTGTGGTTTTCAGAACTATGTTCTATCAGATGTAAGCATACTAAACAAGTCTCTAGTAATTTACAAGCAATATAAAGCTGTTTGTAATGAAAAAACACTAAAAATGAAACCAAATGCATCTCAAAAGCAGCAAGAAAAGTTCCTTATAATGTCAGATAACCTGTTTGGCATCAGTTCTCAACAGTTTGAGTACACCATGCGTCAGGATACTTTTATACCAAGAGACAGTGCTACAATAAAAAAAGACCTAGACTTTCCTCAAGATCAAAAACAAGACAGAAAAAAGTTTATCAGTGCTTGCGTTGATGAAGAGTTAGAGGCCAGGGTAATAAACATTTAATGAAACTAAAACTGATTAAGATTTGCCAAATATTTAAACATTTTTATATACTAAATTTCAAAAGTTTTTATTTATTTAGATTGAGAGAAGAATTGAAAGATACACTAGACACGAAGAGCTACGGAAAAAAGCTGAAACAGATTGGTTGGTTCTTAAAAATGCAGTGAGAACAAACAATAAAGATCAAGACTATATAAGTGAAGTAGATGAACCATCTTTTAAAAAATGTAAAAGAAAATCAGTATTAGGTATAATGTTTTTTAGTATCTTTTAATTATTTCCTAGTCATTTATCTCTCTCCCCCCATCCTTTTTAATACCATGTCATGCAAGAGATAAAAAATTTTGATTTCTTTATTTTAAAAAACTTCTTTGATAGGTCCTCCCCAGCTGAAAGAGAAATGTACCCTGATAAAGAAGATTGTCACCACTTAAGTGATAAACCAACTTTGGCTGATAAGTCTGGTAGACCTAAATCAAGACACAGATCTGGTCTCTCAGCCTTAGAGGTAAACAAAGAGATCATTAAGGAGGTTTTGATTGCAGCAATCACACCAACGTGTATGAGAGCTGGTATCTTATACTTACTTTCAGTATAAGAGATTAAACTCTATTTATCTCTAGCATTGTAAATTATCTTGAAGGAGGTATCACAGAGTTAAGGATATGCAGAGAGTCGATTAGAAGAGGCAGATACAAACTAATCCATTCTGAAGGTAACAAATTATACTGTTTCAACATTTTAGCTTTTAGATTGTAATAATATGATAATCTGTTTTAGATTGCTGATTTGTAATCATTTAAAAAATAAAAATCTGTTTAGGTTGTAAAATCCGTAATGAGTATATGGAAACAATGAAGAACAAACCATTAGTGCTACACTTTGATGGAAAAATTGTAAAGCACATAGAAGAAGAATCGAAGAAAAGAGTTCTTATTGATAGACTAGCAGTATCAGTTACAATTCCTGAGTTTTCGTCAAACAATGATTTACTTTTTGAAGTTGTTCCTGTAGACAATGGAAAAGCTAATGATATGATTATTGTACTCCAGAATCTCTTAGAATATTTCGAAATATCAGAGAATATCATGGCTGTGTGTACTGACACAACAGTTATAAACACAGGAAAAAAATCAGGAGCAATTGTAACTTTAGTCAGAGTTTTGGGACAATCAGTTCTCTGGCTTTCGTGTCGGCACCATTTTGCAGAGATCCATATAAAATGGGGCATCAAAGCTATTTTTAAAGAGCAAACTGTGGGACCATTGAAACAGATGTATAAAAATTTAAAGCACGCTTGAATGAATAGTTATTACCTTATTGTTTGTTTATACAGGAGCTGAGAAAAAATTCAAGAAGTTTC